TCGTCATCGAGAGGAACTTTTTCTAGGCCGTTTTCGGGCACTACCGCCGAAAGCGCTCCATTGCAGTTGGCCTCCATTGGTGGGGAGGAGGGCGGTGAACTGTCACAAACAACTAGAAAACAGTTGGTACTGAAGGCAGACAATCAAATAAATAGTCTTCNTAGTCTTCTTGCTACTGCGACTGAATGCCTGAGTTTCAGTGAGTCGTATGATGATGATGATGCAAATGTCTAAACTTTCGCGAGCGCTCACACTGCTGCTAATGCTGCCGCCCACTAGCGCTAGCTATTGCTCGCTTGCATCATATCAGCAAAACATGGCCGCCATCGCCGCTGATAAACTCTGCACTGATGAACTGTTGTGGTGGTTGTTTTGGCCGATGACGAAGAGTTTGAAGAGCTGAACTGGCTTTGTGGCGCTGTTTGTTTTTGTCGAGTTTTCTTCGGTAAACTGAAAGGAGCGAGAGCTCAGGTTGAGAGGAAACACAACACAAGCTCTGAAAGAAAACAGATGGCGTCAGTAAAAAAGTTCTGGTACAGGATGCGTGCATGGAACACCATGAATCACCCTTACCAGTTCGGAGGAGGATGCGAGACCAGCAGCAGCAGAAGTTTGGAGGCTGTCAAGTGAACAACAACTGAAACAGACTGCAAATGACAGTTGTGCGTTTGTGCGCTTGTGTGTGTTGTCCAGGCGTCGGCGTCGGTTGAATGGCTGCCTGCTAGCACCTAGCACACACTAATTCAGCGCCACTCTTCAACCAGAGAGGCGCCCTGGTAGTGGTCTGACGTCTGCGCGTGCTGTGCAGTTTCGTTTTGACGTCATTTACATGTTCACGATGGTCGTGGTAAGGGGTGAAGTTCTGGAGCATCTTCTGTCTCATTCTTTGATGTAAAAAGGTGACCAGAATGTTAGAAAGAAGTTCAAAGAATTAGAAAAAGTGCAGTCTCAGCAAAACAACAGTCACTGTTTTGCTTAAAAACAAAACTTTCATAGGAAAACAAGGATTTTATTTTCTCCTGGTTCAGTCTACTGTGCTCAAACTTTTCTGGTCCAGAACTCAAATACCTAGAATAGAACCTCCCCCATATTTCGTTTGACAAAGATATTGTCAGGTCTTCCAAAAAATCCCCGCTACTAGAACGAACCAGAAAGAAACGTCGCACATTTTCCCTCTCTCCTCAGGTTACGTCCTCTACGATCTATCCCGTCAGTCTGCTTTCTGGCCAGCTTACCAGCCACGCTTCCTCGCTCCCTCTCTAGCTTCCTCTCGCTCTTTCGAAAATCTTTCTTCTTTGGATGCCCATTTCGAAGCTATTCCAAAAAGGTAAGTTCTTTTGCTGTCCTGTTCCCCACTTCCGCCCCACCCCCGACTTTTGCACGCAAAGAATTGATTGTCTGAGCGTGCCTTCAGCCCGCGCAATCACCGGCATCGGCCACACTAGCACTCACACAGACAGACACAAACACACTCTCCAAGACTGATTGTTTTGATCACAGTTCTGGCCAGAGTGCTCTAATCATTTACATTTTGGTTCAATTTCGTTTCTTATGTTTCTCATCCCCACCAGCTCCTCACCATGGTCAACCATAAGGCGCGCGGCGACAAGAAGAGCAAGTCGGCGTTGAGCGAGGTGATCACCCGCGAGTACACCATCCACCTGCACAAGCGCCTGCACGGCGTCGGCTTCAAGAAGCGCGCCCCCCGGGCGATCAAGGAGATCAAGAAGTTCGCCCAGAAGCAGATGGGCACCGACGACGTGCGCATCGAGACCCGCCTGAACAAGTTCGTCTGGTCGCAGGGCGTCCGCAATGTGCCCTTCCGCGTCCGAGTCCGACTCGCCCGCAGACGCAACGAGGACGAGGACAGCACCCACAAGCTGTACACGCTGGTCAGCAT